CCAAACAACGCCCCTGCAGATTTGCAGATTTGTTTGCTACGGTGCATTTGACGATTTTCGAACTTTTGTCATGATTGCGAATTTAAAATGTTTTGTTTGCGGCAAATCTCCGGGATTTTTGCAGATTTTCTTCTTCAAATTGCCTCCAGAGTGGCTTTCGGGGTCAAGCGATAAGAAATCCGGTTTCCATCACTTATCGAGTTTGCGACCGACATCATCTGCCCTGTTAGGCACTGATTGAATTCAAATTAAGGAATAGCGCTCAGCCATATTGTCAGCGTTTTGCAAAACGGCTCATAATTCGCCCAAGTATTCGGATGGGGAATATAAAAGAGGGTGTTGAGAGCGACGAAAGCCCGCCCTTGTTTAAAATTCGACGTTACAGCCTGGTAAAGACCCACACGTAGCTTGTCGGGTCGCCTCGAGACTTCCTAACTAAACTATATCTATGAGAGGGATTGACTTTGATTTTCTCCGAAAAAGTTGCCCTTCGCCTCGCCAAATCCTCCTAACTAATTGCCCGCAAACTTTTGCGATATTTATTGTCTTTAGTCCACATTCCGTTCTATTCTGCGCTCTATTTACAGTTTGTTGTACGAATGTGCTGTCGTCCGCATATGGAGCTAAAGCTCCACACCCAGGATTTTCCAGGAAATTGCTGTTGAGATCCGATTGTTGAATGATGGGCGTTTGGGGGACGCATTAGAGACTTTTCCTTCCAAACTCCATCCACACCTAAAGCATGCTTTATTATACACTCTACCTGATAGAGAACGCTTCTCTTGACAAATGAAACCCGATTTTTCACCGAATTGTTATTTACTGCGCTTTAAAGTTTGGTCCAATGGGAGGTTCGTATTTATAGCATATTTTTGCTATTTTCCTTGTCGCCTTGGGAGTCTCAATTGGCTTTCTCAAGCTTGTTCCCGGCCAGATGGCACGTTATAAAATTAAATAATGTATTCTTATTCTGGAATGGATGCATTTTTGTGGAAAAACTGGAAATGCTAGACCTTAAGCGCCCATTTAGACGCAAGCAAGTGGTCACGTTTTCAGGAGGGTGTTTTTGCCATGTTTGCCTCCTTAGCGTGCCAACTTTATCGGTTTGTAACAAGTATAGTTTTTCTAGCTCTCCCTGTTTCGCCTCCATTCCTCCCTTAAAAGCAACGCAGCTCGAAAACTCTCCACAATCGTGTTTTCGTTGTTCGAATGCGTTTCCAAATAAGATCGGGGGTTTATCACGATTTTCCCTAAATATTCAGAAGTGAGACTCCGTTTGGTATGTATGCGATGTGGCTCGATCAGACCGCTTGATCGTTCTTATATCATCATCTTGGCGGCGTGTTTTGACACGCCGATATCAAAACATTGTTCTTACGTGGAATGGCAAATAAAGCGCGGGGCGATGATTTGTGACCGGATTTGCACTCAACAAATATTTTACGACGATAAAACATGCCGTTTGAGGGTGGATTTTTAGGGGTTTTACCCCTCTGTGGGTTTTAAGGGGGTCAGATTGTTAGAAGTCCATGAAACCCCATCATTTTCACTCAATTGAGGGCCTTTTCAGAGGTTTTTGATTGGAGATTATTAAAATCCAAAAGTTTAGGAAAAAAGTTGATTCTAAATTCTTCAGGCCCCTGGCCCCCTTTTACACAGTGGCGCACTCAAAAAAGATATTTTTGTTTTTTTAGAAGAAAGAGCAACATTTTTCAATGGAAAGCTTCGTTTGCGGAAGATAAAATAAAATGTGCCAAAACTGCCTGAGCGCCAGTTTGCAATAAAAAATCAAAATTTCCTTATGGAAAATTTTCCATTTCAGGGCGATTTATACGGACAAAAGTCATTCCAAAGTGGGTTCGTTTGTTACGGAAAAAGGTGCTCGGATGAGCCAAGGGGACGAAAAGATAAGTTTGTACAGGCGCTTATGGGGGCTGAATCTTCAAACCTTCAAACGTTTTTTACATGTTTCAACATATTCAGTTCCAATTGGAGCAGTCGGGGGGCCACGAAGAAAAATTTCTGCTTGAAAAATGCTGCAGCTGAAAAATCACGGTCGAAATCAAAAACCTCCAGTATCTCGCTTATTAGTCTTTTTAGAGGAAAACTTAATACCAGCTTTTTTATGGCAATTGATCCTCTCTATCCAGTGGTGTACCTGGAATTTTTAAATTCTTTTTGGGATCGACTATATGATTTTTTTTCAACTCATATTTTGACATTTTTGCAAAAACTCTGTAAGATGCGGGCTTTGGAAAGAGCTTTTCACCTGCCGGACACTTTGTAACATTTCTGGCTGTGAGAAAAAATATAAAATGTGAAAATTCTGGACAGTCGGGATTAGAGGCGATTTTTCCAAATTTGACCGCCATAAATTTTCCGCGCATTTTTTTTTTAACTGATTTTTCGGCATTTTTCAGAAACCCCTTCATATGCAGGCTTATGAAAAAATCGTACTAAATAGCCTTTGAGCTGCCGACAATTTTCTCAAGAGAAACTTTCGCTTGGAAGCTTTGTCTGAACGAAACAAAAGTGTGAAAATGACCACAAATTTTTGGGGTCCAAAACCCCAATCTTACGGAAAAATATTACAATTTTTTGGCCTATTCGAATATTTCCATTGCAGGCCTTTCCATTTGGCCAAATTACATGGGTTTGTTTCTGCAAAAAGCCCTCTCATGAGCGAAGGGAGGAAAAGTAACAACTTTGTACAGGCGCTTAGGAGGGCTCAATCTTTAAACCTCTATAAGCCCGCTAAATATCCAACAATGAGACTCATTTTTACTCAATAATCGCTTTTTCGTATGTTCGCACAATGTTATATTAGGAACAATTGGGGCCAGTGGCGGGCTGAAACAAAAAAATTCTATGTGAACTTTGAGTGCAAAATTGTGTCCGAAATTCGTTGTTTCTTCTTAGGTTCCAAGTAGCAGTAGCTCGTTTATCAGTATTTCTAGAGGAAAAGTGAATACTACATTTTTTAGGGCAACTTCTCTCTATTCAGTGGTGTACTCAGAATTATTCCATCGTTTTTCGTTTTGACGAAATTTCATTTTTTTGGAACCCATATTTTTGTTTTTTGGCAACTTTTCGATCGGAAGCTTTTTTTGGGAGAAAAAATCTAAAATGTGCATGGATTTAAGCCCATTTGACCGTTGCAGATTTCCAGCAACAAAAACATTATTTTGTTCTCGTAAAAAAATGCCACTGTTAACCTTTGCAGATGGACAAAATGCGTTCCAAAGTGGGTTGGTTTGTTACGGAAGAAATCCTCCAATGAGCGAACGAAATGTTTTTGAATTTTATTCAAAAGCCCTCAGAGATTGGCTTTGGGAAAAACGTTATTAAGTAGCTTTTGAGCTGCTGCACATTTGACCAAGGGCAACTTTTTTATTCCTTATTTATTTTTGTAAAAAAAACTGGTTTTGGAGAAAAAAAAATTGAAAATCGCCTCAAATCCTGTACTTTCTGGATTTCAGGCGATTTTCCGGAAGTCGACCGTGACAAATTTCCAGTAAACATGTTTTTCTTGTCTTTTAAAAAATTTTCACAGTCGAACTTTCCACATGCACAAAATTCTTTCGAAAATGGGTTTGCTACGGAAAAAATCCTCGGATGAGGGAAGGCAGGAATGAGAAAAGCGTTAAATACATTTTTGGCAATTTTTTCAAAACCCCTAAAGATAGGACTTGGAACAATTTCTACTGAATAGCTTTTGACCTGCTGCACATTTCATAAAGAGCAGCGTTTTTCCATAGGAAGCTTCATTTGGTAGAAAAAAAATGTGAAATTGCTCAAAATCCTAAGAGTTAGTTGTTTAGCTCCTAAGAGTTAAAGCTTGGAAAAAATGTTATTAAATAACCTTTGACCTGTCGGAAATTTTCTGAAGAGCAGCATTCTCAAGTGGAAGCTCCCTTTGGGCAAAAAAATTCCAAGAACAACACGTTTTTTTGCAAAAAATCTTCCAATTCTCTAAGAAAGCAAAAGCTAAAAATTTTCTAGCACAAGCGCTTATTCTTCATTCTTCAAACATGATTCTTCAAACCTCAATAGAACTGGGAAAGTCCGATCCAATGACCCTTTTTAACCCAGAACTCTGCCTGAAAATCGTTCAAAATCCTGCAAATGAACATTTTTTAAATTTGTTGAGAAGCAAAGTTCACAAAATCTCCACACCTGCGGTAGCTCCCTTACGGGGCTTTTTAGAGCAAAAGTGGCGAGCACCTGTTTTGTGCATTATGACATGCTCTATCCAGTGGCGTATCCAAAATTTTCCAATCGCCATTAGTTTGATCAAAAAACCCGACTCAAGTAAACTCTTTCTTCGCCCATATTCCTATCGAATAAAGAGCCCAAGTGTTTATACTGTATATTTGGCTCTATCATCAAACTGCAAGCTCTATTGAGGGAAAACCGAGATGCGCAAAGCCGGCCAATAAAATCAGTTAGCACTCAATTAGCGTGAAAACGTAGTGTTGCTCTATAATTTATCTTGAGGTGGCGTCAATCAGGCGTTTGCCAACAGCAAAGGAAATTAGCTGCGGAAATTCGAGTTTTTCCGCGAAATCGTCACGGGGAAGCGATTCTTCGCGAAAATGCCTCGAGAATGTTCCAAGTGCATGGAAACTGGTCCCGATCAGACCGAACGGGGAGTAATTGACTAATTGATCCTAATGACTATGAAGGAAGCGTTCAGTGTAATTAAATGGGAATTAGCCGAAGAATGAGCGACGGAATCGGAAAGTCCGTTAACGGAACGAAAAGCGTCCACCAGGTATTATTCATAGTCCAGGCACGCGTCTGCTATTCCCGAGGAACATTGCGGGCCGACGCCTTATTTCGACGCCTATCAATGACGCCAAATTGTGAAATATGACGCCCGGCTTTTCTTCGCGTCCCTTTTTCCGTGTTAATCGACCTCGGATCGAAAGAGTTATCGCTTTGGCGATCGGTTAGGTCAGTCTCAGTTTCGTCGACTAATCATTTCTGTTCTTTTCCAGGAGGATTCAGACTTGGTCTTTGATCAGTTCGAGCTGCCAGATCTGCGAACACTTCGAACCGCTCGAGAGTCGGATGGTTACTCTTATGAAGAATCTAGTCAGAGTTCGAGGGAAGATGAGGAAGAACAGCATTGGCTTTCACGGACGGTGAATCGGATCAAGCGAAGCATTGGTGAGGGGCCGCCCAACCCGCAAACTTGGGTGTTAAGATTAAAACTTTTTTCAAACTTCTTTTTGGGTGTTTTGCCTCAAAAATTTTTTGGGTAATTTATAAAATTTCGTTCGTGAGACTGCGAGAAAGATACTAAACGAGTGTTCAAATTGACCATTTTTTTCGGAAGTATACCATTTTCTTCGAAAGAGAGTGAGAAATGCAACCACCGCAAGGAGAAACTCGCTAGAGCGCTGTAAACCGAAATAACTGCAAAACTGCAAACATTTTAAATTTTCAACTGCCTCTATCTGCTCTAGCATGCACTCAAACAA